TTGAATACCAACCGAAGGTGGGCCACCATTCTGAGAACCTCCCCTTATACCCACGCTGGTTTCTACTGCCCCCAAGACACTACCCAGTGCAAAAAAGGGCTCCCGTTTAAAAGCGGTTGTTCATCTCCTTGAACCTCCGGGGTAGTGGCTTGCGGGTAGTGAACACATTCTGAGATTGGACAGTTGTTTTAGACGTACCCTCCTCATTCTTCGCAGATCCTTCTCGAAACATTGGTGAAAACCCAGGGCGACATGGGTAACAGAAGGGGTGAGGAGAATGGGGAACCACCCCCCACTTGAGAAACCCTGCCTGCTTCCCCAGTTCGGACCCAGCAAAAGCTTGTGGGACCTTTTGAAACTGAAACCCGACTGGAAAACCAAAGAGTCAAAAGGTCGATTCGCTTTGCGCAAGCGGGCCCCCTACATTTAACATTCGTTTGGCCGAAAACTCGAGCCACAATGCAAGCTGAACAACATGAAACAAGTCTTGGGCAAACACCATTAACAATGCCACAAAAAATGCCACATATCATAAAGAGACCTAAAAAACGCATTATTGAAAACACATCGCACGCCGAGGAGAAAAACAACAAACCAAACATGATTTGAGAACCCCTCCCTCCCCCCGGTAGACCAAATATGTGTGCGTTTGATTTTAGGGGACTCCAAAAAAAGGCGCATCGGTGTTCCTTCTGGTTTCCCTTTAAAAACGTGGAAAGACTTCTCACCTGCCCAGTTTGGACGTGGCAATGAAAGGTTAACCTTTTGGGGTCTTGACTCAATATGGGCCAATGTTGGAAAACCAAAAGGTCATTTGAGGTTGATTTGCCTTGGGCAACTGAGATAGCGAAACCACACCCATATTGTTGTTAGATGTAGTTTAAAAAAAAAAAAAACACAATACTAGAATGCCACAATCCCGCGTTTGAGGGTGTAGTCGGGTCTAATTCGACCCAGATTGCTTTTAGATGTTGTTTCAATACCGCCATAAAACCCACGAACGTCTTCAATTGAAAGCAACATTGAAGGACACAGATGACGAACGCCAATGTTGCTTTTAGATGTTTAAAAGGCACACTAATTTGTGGAGGGTACCCCTGCTTGGTAGGTTTTAAAGGGAAACTAAAGCAAAAACCAGCGCTTGGGGGTGCCCTAAAACAGTAGAGACCCATATGTTTGGTCACCTTGACGCTTCCCTTTGCTCGGTTGCTTTCTGCTCCCCTGTTAAAAGTTTACCTTTTAGTGGTTTAGTGGAAAACCAATTTGTTGGCAAAAAATGCAAGGCCTAACATCCCTTGGCAAGATGCACCAAAGTTGGGATCCGACGTCTATTTTTGTTTGCTTCGGGCAGCCGCTGCCGCACCGGAGCTTCCCAGTCAGAGCCCAAAGCCGGCAGAGGCGCCACCAGCACCACACACCTGGAAAAAGAGCTGGCATACGTACAAAGGCATAGGTAGTGTATGCATAAATGTGTATATATATACATATATATATAAGCAGTTATAAACATGAAAATAAGCAAATAAATAAATAAATATAAAGACATATAAATAAATAAATAAATAAATAAATAAATAAATAAATAAATACATACATAACTAAATAACATGTACAATTTGATTCCCCAACGCAACAAACGTCGTGGTTTCAATCATGGCTTCAAAGTGGTGCCGATACTGTGTGCCTATGTAAATCCCACCAGGTAACATGGAACCTGGCGTTCGGGACTGGGTCGTGTCTTCAAGGACCCCCCCCCCATATACTTATACATACACACAAGTCTTCATCTATGTGCTACGTGATGTGGTCACACATGAGCTAGCATATAGTATATGACTTGATGTGTGGCAATGGGTGATTGTGTCTCGTTTATCCTTCTACCGTGATGTGATTCGCTTGTTTCCTTCTGTAGGTTGTTTTCTGTGGGCTTGCAGCAGGGAAAAGTTCTCCTCGCACCTCGCTAAGATGGCCTCAATTTGAACTCGCTCCAAGTTTTGGGGCCTCTTTGAGCGGGGCAGAAAACACACCACGAAATAATATGACATACTCTCTTGTAAGCTCATTTTTCACCTGGATAAGTCACTACAAACAGGGCTTACTTTTTGATGCCCCCTTCGGGCAAACTGAATGGACCGCTTTCAAAGCTGCTAGGTTTGGAGGGATGAAAGGCAGCTTCCGCTTTTGCATTCTCTACGCAGGGCACCCCAGTTCCATGTATAAACTCTCGGAGATGAGGCCTTTCTGGTGGTGGCCGATATGGAACCCTGGTAAATGGAAACATGGCCATGGGGCAAAAGCCCGCATCCCCACTAAAATAGGTTCTAACATGGGTGGTACACCTACCCCAAAATGGGATTCCCGTTGGTCTTGACCCACAGCCACGTGGACTAAAACCGGAAGCTTGCTGGTTCCTTGTGCCCCGCACCCGACAACTCCCGCCTTCCCTTGGCCTGGCGCGCCCGCGCCAGCGGCCGAAACACCGGCGCCCGTCTGGCCCCGCCGCCCGCGTCGGAGGCGTCGGCGTTCGCGTCGCGGGTGAAGAGCTGCGCGGCGGCGCGGCGCTCCAGGAGCTCCAGGCTCTCCGCGCTCTCGATCATTGCCAAGTCGTTTTTTGTGGGGGAGCTCACGTTTCCCAGGTCCAGTAGAGAGGTTAGAATAAGTTGGTACCGTTTCTTTTTGCTGTAGTCTAGTTTAGGGCCATTGGCTCACGTCTCTGGGGATTTTTGTTTACGGTTCCTAGGTCCAGTAGACTTGGTTGACGTTGGAAGGGGGGCAAAAATTCAAATTTTGGCAGTTAAGGCAAGTGGGGAATGGAAAAGTAATGGAAAAGTGACTAATGCCAAAAAAGCAAAGCTTCAGACAGGTACCATTGAACATCGCCTCTTTCGATTTGCCTTTCTGTTTGGGGTGGGGGGGAGGGCGTTGGTGAAGAAGGGACAGCCAAAAACATTTTGAGACGCCCTCAGGTGACCGGTGACACTGGAGAGAGGCTGGAAAAGATATGCTTGCCTGATTTTGAGAGAATTTCTTTTGGGATTATCATGATCCAAAGGATTGGAGACACCAACCAAACATATTTTAGAGGGTGACACTAGGCAACTGTGTTGCTTCTTTGACTTGTGGATATTTAGCTTCAGAGAGGGTTCAGAGGCAACGACAAGTCTTATAGTGCAGAGCGGTGAGTCAGTGAGTTGCTAAGTTGGCACGGGACTGCAGCGGTTGCTTGCTTCAAGTTATGCTGGGTCTCTCAGGCATCCGAAAAGAACCCCGGCTGTTGACTGAGTCGTCAAAAAAAAACAGTTCAATTCGTTGCCTTTTGAAGGGCGAGAAAACCAACCATAGCTAGGTCCTCCAGTAGAGAGGTTCGAATAAGGGTACCCTTTTTTTCTGTAGTCTATTTTAGTAGGGGACCCCTCCCAACCAAAAAAGAAAGGGTAAAAGGGCAACTAGCTGGGGGACCTAGATAGCCATGATCCTTGCCTCTGGCCGCTTTCTTGAAGGCGGCCGGAGTTCAGAAGTTCACCTGTCCCCTTGTGCCAGGAGCGCGCGGCCAGCGAGTCAGCCCAGTGCGGTCACCCGTGCTTCTTCCCTCCGACAAGCTTCATGAGGCCGGTTTTTCCCGAATGCAAGTGAACCGCGACTCAATCAAATCCCCAAGATGAGGTGAAGCATTGCAAGCCCAAAACATGGCAATGTGAATAAATCGGTTGCGTTCCCCTCCAAAAGTGGTTGGATTCCCTACTAAACCCAGGGGCACCCCCACTCATCAACATGTTAAAATATACATCCGGGGTTCACATTCCCCCTTTTCTGGACCTGTGGAGACCATGGCCTTCCGCACAGCCGCCAGAAATCCTCACACAAATCCTTGGGCATCCCGAACATTGCGCGCGAAACAACATATTTCTGAGTGCCGGTGTTTAAGCGGCATAAAGCCGCAACAAAATGGTGAAACAGCATGAACATCAATCATCATCAACCAAGACATCAATCATCAACCAAAACATCACCAAACCAAAATCAACATCAATCATCAACCAGGATGCGCAACCAAAACATCTTCATCATCACCGTGCCTAATCAACTTGCACATCCTTGGCCGCTTGAGGGCCGTTGCGCCGACTCCCCAACCACTCAGACTCACCTTTCATCAAACGTCTTCCACCCCCTTCCACCCCCCCCCCCGGTGTTGGGAATGCCGGCCAAAAAGAACACGAGCAGACCTGATCAAGCCTCACCACAGCACTAGAAACGCCCCTGCTGCAACCAGGGGTGTTAAGCACTGTCTGGGACGAAATGTGCCCTATCCCCTTCTTTGGCTTGCTTTCCTCTCCCCCCCCCCGGTGTTGGACTGCCGGCCAAACAGAACACGAGCAGACTTGCTTTGAAAGTTGAATGTGATAGGATAGATAATATGGCTATGAGTTTGCTCGAGCTACAAAACCCGGCATCTCCCGGGCCCCACAACCATGTGCAAAATCCAAAGGGCTGCTTGCGCCCATGCCATGGAAGCTCAAGAGGAACATGATCTTCCAGGTACCTCCCCACAAGTGCCATGAGGAAGGATACTGTAAAACAAACTCAAGTCATGATCACAACAGCAACTTGCCAGCAACATCTAGGTTACCTAGGTCCTCCAGTAGAAAGGTTAGCATAAGGGTACCTTTTTTTCCGTAGTCTATTTTAGGGGAACCCTCCCCAAAAAAGGGTAAAAGGGCACTACCGGGGGACCTAGTTCCCGCTTCTGAATCGACATGATGCACGCTGATGTTCCCAGTGAGCGCCCGTGCTCATGTGTCAAAGCTCCTTGCGCGGGTTGTCTGAAGCCCCCATTCAGGGGGGAACCTCAAGTAGTCGCTCACTTCCTGAGCAGATCGGCCCAAAACAAGTTTACACTTTTGCAGGGCACCAAACAAAGTCCAACTCGAGTGAGAAAGGGTGCTTTCATGGCAACTCACGATCCTTCAGCTCCTCGTAGCCACGCCCCGCGAGACTCACGCCTCCAGTGAAGCCAAACCTTCCGCCCGCCAGCCATGTAGTCTCCATGGCCTCGTGACCGCGGGTTCTCAGAACCTTCCTGAGATGCGCTGGGGGTTTTGCCCCCTCTCTCCGAATCAGACATCTGCAGATGTCAAGACTCTTATGGCCCATGGTGGCCCTCTAAACAGGATCGAGCCTGTTAGGATTTCTTTTCCAAAATGCCTGGCCCAGGGCCCATGACCACACCCATTGCCAATACCTCGATCTGGGATGCCCACTTCAGAACCCAAAGCGAAGTGGGCTCCGAAGGCTGCCTTGTCACAAGCGCCTTTCGGGGGAAGGGCTTTCTTTTTTGCTCGACATGGGGCTACCTCAGTTCCCTTTCAACTCTCCAAAGGCTGGTGTCTTCTTCTGAGAGGGAAAGCCAATTTGAGACGTACAGCGTGCAGTCCCTTCAACCTGTCTCACATTTAGGCCAACGGGAAAGGCAATGCAAACCGAACAGCAAAAGCACTGGGAACATTAAAACATCTAGGACCGAACGAAGCATGGGGCGCAAGGAATGCCAAAAGAAGTGGTTTTAAACCCCCCCAACACCACGACACACCGTTTGAAGCGGGGGGAACGGCTTTCCAAAAGACACCCACATGGAAAAGAACGGCGACCCGTCGTCCCGTCGTCCACCCAATTCGCCTGGTGCTGGTGAAGCTCAACGGGCCAAAGGGCGGCAGCCGGCCATCGGCGTAGTCCAGAACCTGGCAGCTGAGACGTGTTGTTGGGGGCCTCGGCCAGGGGTCTTTTTGCCACCTTTGGCTCACTTGCCCAAAAGACCTGAAAATAAAAGGTTAACCTTTTGGGACCTTTACTAAAAATGGACCAAAATGGAAGACCAAAAGGTCAAAAGGTCGGCTTTGGGCAAGTGAGTTGGTGGAAAAATGATCGACCCCCAGTGAAGGATTCCTTTTTGAGGGGGTCGCCAATTTTCTCACAAAAGGTGGCAAAAAGACCCCCTGGGCTCGACTTCAGTTTTGCAGCTGCACTTTTTGAGGGCGCCGAAGAAGTTGACCAGTGTTTTTTTCGGGGCGCACGTCCCAGGAAACAGTTGCAATCATTTTTCCAAAGTCAGGTAAGTTCCGGGACCCTCAGGGCGGGCTATGGGGGGGGCACGGGGGGGGGGGCGCTAGCCGGCCGGCCCTTATGAAACAATCACATAAGTGCTTATTAAGTGCTTATCCTTGGCTTACCCCTGGCTTATTCATAGCCACGCTAGGAGTCCATGAGGTGACGTGGCCCCATAGTGCTCCCTAGAATTCCATAAGTCCTCCCTCCCAGCTGTGACATCACGCCACGGTGTTGGCTCAGGCTACCTGTGGCCCTGAAGGTTGAGCTCTGGTCAGATTCTCCTACGGGTCCTAAGCCACATCCTCAAACTTGTGCTCTAAATGGCGGTTTAACAGGAACAAGCCTTTGTGGGCTTGGCAAATGGCGGCTTAACGGGAAGCCACTTCCAAAAGTAAAGTTGGCTTGTTGGGCTGGAGGTGCTGTGGCCCCTTCTGGGCACCACGACTCTCTTGAAACGAAGAGATCCTCAGGCTACCCCTAGAATGGTGGAGCCCAATGGTCTGGATTTGGATTTGAAGGGATCCCTGGTTCTCGTAGAGGGCAAATGGGATACCACGGAACACCCCCACCAATTTAAACTCCTCGCTCTCCAAGCCTCCGACTTTTGGCATCTAAAACCGCGACGCGCTCTGCAAGTAACGGCAGCTCCCAGCTTTCACAAGCTGTGCGGGCGGTTTTCTCATAATTTGGAAGCCGTCTCGTGGCCTTACGATTAAACCGTAAAGCAACGGAATCGGGTACCCGAAGCTTTGAGGAAACACCTCCGTGTGCGTTTGAGCGGTCGGAACGGGCAAGCTTCCATGCAGTAGCCAAATGCGCCATAGTCAGAATTGAGGGCCCGCGGTACTGGGTCATTCAATCTGGTTGCATCCGGGGGGTTTTCTGCCTTTTGATTTTCCCTTTTTGTTCGACAATTTTTAGCGGCCCCCAACAGTGATCACGTTTTATTTCCACAAGTTACATGCGGAAAAATCGTTCACCAGCGAGTTGGCCAACACGAGCTTTACGACTCTGAGAGGTCAAAAGGTCGGCTTTGCTTTCCTTCGAGAAGTGAGTCATTTCTTGCTGTCCTCAGTTGCCAAAGGACCCAGACTTTAATCTTTGGGGGCCACCAAAAGGTCGGTCAGATCTCTGAGCACAAGCTGAGTTCACCTGCAACTTTGCGGCCCAAGAAAAAGGTTTGGAAACTGAACTGGCAAGCCTTTGCCTTAAGACCTCAAAGGTAGCACCCATCCGCAAATCGGATCTAAGAAGCAATATCTACTAGTATTCGAACAGATTGCAACACAATTGCAACAAAATGATGACTTTTCAAGTGCCCCCCTACCCCCAATTGACTGATTTAGCCCTTTGTAGTCCGGGTTTCTGCTCCAGATTTTGTTGGAATGGCATGGTTAGGTCACAGATCAGAGGGTTGTAACCCAGCGGTGTTTCAGTCCTGGGATCAAAGACGGATGTCTCATGAAATACTTCGGAACATCGCTCCCCGGATGAAGCTAAACCCCTGGTTGATTTTGATCCAGCGGTTTTTGCTTGTAGTGGGAATCCGGATTGCCTTTGCGGGTGTCCCCTATTAGATGGGTTTAGTAATTACACGTGGCTTCCCCCGGCCACAAAAAACGGCCCCTCATGAGGTTGCTTTTTTGTGCAAAAACATATTTCGAGCACATGTCACTGCTTGTTTCATTTGCCGATGGGAAAACTCCCCCTCCAAAAAGGGTACCCCAAACCCCAAAAGCCCAAACTTATTGGGCTTCTCCTACAAAACGCTTCACCCCAATGGAACCCTAACCCCCATCCCACCTGCCAAAGCCGAGCTCTGCAGCTCTCCTCGCCACTCGCGGCGCTCGCGGCGCTCGCGGCGCTCGGCCGACGTAGCGCCACCACCGCCTCGCCGAAGCGCAAGGCCAAGCCCTCCCGCGACTCCTCGCGGACGCGGCGCCCGCGCCGTCGGAGACGGCGAAAAACCCGAGCGACCAAGGCCCAGTGACAAATCTGGTTTTGGCCAACTTGGTTTTAGGAATGACAAGACAATCCCTGGCCCTAGAAGAAACAAGTAGTATAACTCAGTGGGTCACAGGACCGAGGAATACAAGGTGTTGGCCGCTCAATGCAGGTCGCACTGCGCTCCTGCGGACCCACCTCCATCTCCGCCTCACGGGTTGGTTGTGACCAGGGTGGGGTTGGCCCAAACAAGCCTGAACTTTCTGTAGGCCGCTAAAATGGCCCAAAGCCAAATGGCATAAACAAATCCATGAACTCATACAATTAATTCGGCAACAACTGTTCAAACCCATCTCACCATTTGAAACAGGACGGGCTTCATCCACTGTTTCAAGGCCACCTGGAGCCTGTGCGGGGTGAAATCAAACAGTCCGCAATCAAGCAACAGACTTCCATGGTGAGATCCTGAGACCCGAACATTGGCATATATGGAATCCCGCAGGTCGCAACCCCCCCTTCCCCCAGTTCCACTTAGCGGGGCCCAAAAACCTCAGCATGTCTCTTTGTGGCCATACAATCTGGGGAACCCCTTGAACAAACACGTTTCCTTGCAATTTTCCTTTCAAAACAAACCCCAACAAGCAGACCCTCAAAACGGCACAGGCGTGTACACTGCAAAACCCGCTCGGTCGCGAGTCGCACATCCCGCCTGCTCCGCCAAGGGCGAGGTTTCGTCGCACGGCGCCCAGCCGAGTGGCGGGCCGTGGCCCGCCTTGCCTCGGGCATTGGTTTGCATAGCTTCACTTTGTTGCTGTTGACCCCAATGCATTAAGAGTTTTAACTTTTTGTGGGTTTAGTGGAAAACCCATTGATTTCTCAAAAAGTTAAAGTCTAAAGATCCAACCCAATAGCAGTCAAGTTCACAATCCGAAACGTATGGGCTCGCAGAAAACTGACTGTTTGCAGCCCCCCAAACCGAAACATGAACAGAACCAACAAACAAAAAACAGCAGGACACTTGCCAAGAAAGTGTAAGTCAGTTGCCCAAAGGATTGGTTTACCATCATCAAAACCGCCCGTAAGTTGTAGTTTGAAGGTGATTGCCCTGCTTGGACCTGGCAATAACAGGTGATCACCTTTTGGGGCCTTGACGAAATCTGGTCGCCAACCTTGAAAAATAAAAAGGTCAGATCAGGTCGATTCGCGTTGTGCAACTGAGTTCAGGTCTACCTTGGTCCAAAAAAAATGTCACACACTGGAAACTTCTGATCGAGTGGATTGGCCGAAAGAAGTCGAGACTTGTCGAGTACCACGAAAACAGCCTTCCCAAAAAGGACAAAGTCCAAAGGACTTGGTGAGTGAGGTGAGGAGTGATAGGAACCCTGGAAGTTAAGCGGAAGGATCATTCGACAGGAAACTGCCCCCACGAAAACAGAAAGGGCAGGGGGTTCATCGCTTTTAGAGGGGAACAACCCCATTGATAGGATGGTTAGAATGGGGGGGGTTGCGGCCATGAAATTAATTCAAGTCGTGATGGAAAAAAAAACAAAGCCGCCATTTGCAATTAGAGGAACCTCCTTTTCGCAGACCCCGCTTTTGGGTTCCATATTCATTTGTAGGTGAGTACCCAAGGGCGCTGAGAGGTACTAACCGGATTCGTTCTCTCGGCCGCGTGGCCAGTCCTCCCGACGCCAAAGGCCCGCCAGAACTCCAGGGCTCGTCCCGCTTCTGATACCGCTGAGGGCGGGAGGTTTGTGCTCGCCTCCGCGGCTCGATCGTTTTTGGTTTCTCTTGGGGGGACTCCCTTTTTGTCGTGGTTGTGCTTCCTTTTGGGGTTCCCTTTGAAAAGCGCACCACATCAGGATTACCGAGCCTCAAAACACAGCCGCTCCCCTCAAAAGGCCTGGTGGCTCTTGGAGGTTCTCAAACCCTCCGACCTCTCAGGTTCCAAAGCGGCCGGGTAGCACATGGCGTATCTAAAAAAACACCAAATTTGCGACACACACTCACGCACACGGTCTCGCACTTAAAAACTGAGCTAAAAAGAAATCCAGCCTTGCAGCGAAAGACTGAAGATGCCTAACAGGCATGGCATATTCAATTACTTGCTGGATGCACCAGTCACACACTTTCGTCATGCACCTCAGGGGGTTGTGTAAGCCACGCATAGCCATAGTCTCGCTTGCCAGCTTGGACCTGGAAAAAAAAGTGATCACCGTGTGGGACCTTGACTAAACATGGACCATGGGAAAACCGATGGTTCAACGCTCGATTTGTTTTGGGCAACTGAGGAACGGAAATGTTTGGATTAATCAACCGCATCATTCAGTCAATCACTAGCCAATGGACTTCTTGGGTGGGTTCATGCCCTGCTTGATTTTTTTTCGGGGGTGTTTTTTCTTCAGAAAGGGACCCTGTGAGCGTTGGGTTTTTGCACACACCTAATTTTGCTGCATTCTGGCAAAAACCGAAAAACTTGAGATGCTTTTTAACAAAAAGAAAGTTCTGGGACAATGTGCTGGGGTCATGCAAACAGTTCTCCACCTTACCCCCCCCTCCTACAGATGTCAGGCTCCTGTCCAAAACCGAAAAAAACATCGAGAAATCGAAAGATTTTGTCCAAAACCGAAAGAAACCTCGAGAAATCGAAAAAAAAAAAAAAACCAAAGATTCCAGGACAATGTGCTGGTATCATGTAAACAGTCTGTTGGCCAGATTGGCTTTTTTTTTGTTTTTTTTTTTTTTTTTTTTCGATTTCTCGAGGGTTCTTTCGGTTTTGGGCAAAATCTTTCGATTTCTCGATGTTTTTTTGATTTTGGATCGTTTCTTTCGAATTCCCGTTGTTTTTTCCGATTTTGGACACCTTCTTTTGATTTCTCGATGTTTCTTACTTATAATGTAAGCCCAGCAGGAAGCAGCCAAGATAAGACAATCTGCAGCAAAAGCTTCAACACAGGACAGCTTTGCAAGGAAGAGCTTAGAAGGTTTTCCAAAACCAAACAACAAGAAAACCAAAGGTGTGGCCAGCCCGACAACACAGCTTCAGGTGACAGCAAGCCCGACAGAGTCCTTAGCTTCCAGCCAGCTTGCACCCAGCCCCAGCCCAGCTAGCTTAGAGAAGAAAAGAAGTTTTTTGGAACACCAGAGCAGCAAGCCAAGGAGATAGAACCTGTGCTATCTAACAGGGTAGTTCCATACCAGAGGCAGCAGCAGAGCAAGCTGCAGAAAGAAGCTGCACTAGTGAAGTCAGCTTACCTCCAGAAGCTAGCTTTAATTTTAGAAGCTAGCAGAGCTTGAGAAAGAAGACCCAGACGAAATTGTAACAAGACTGCGGTTTCAGAGAGAAGCAGGCAGACAAGGTGGCAGGCCTCCAGTTCTGGAAGAGCGTAGAGGAACTGCAGGTGGGCAGTTAAGGAAGAAGGAGACAGATCCTTCCAGGAAGCAAGAGCTTTTTGCCTTTCAGAAGATGAAGCTTAGTGAAGAGATTCAGATGATTCTGGAAGAGGCTTAGCCTCAGAAGCAGAAGCTTGGGCAGTTGCAAGGAGAAAGTTCAAGATGAGCACACAGAGGCTGGAAGATTGCAGAAGAGGTTTGCCAGAGCAGCTGGCGGAGGGAGAAAGAGAGAGTTTAGCAGAGAGATCTCTCAACTTGGCAAGCGGTTGCAGAAAAGAAAGGAGTTATAGCCACAACGTTTCAAAGAATGAGCTGCTGAAAGAGTTCTTGGCCCTTCTGGTTGCAAGGGCAGAGAGATGCATGGTCAGGGCAGAGCTTTGCAGAAATGAGATGCAAAGGAAAGCTTGGCTGAAAGAAGCTGACTGTGCCCTGCAGAGAAAGACCAAGCTCCAGCAGAGCTCAAAGTATGCAGCTTCTTATGTAGAGAAGCTGATCCAATGGCTAGGTGCAGCTTACTTGAGCAAAGATCAGACTACTCGCCTGGCACCAGTTGAAGAACACGTGCGGGCCCAGCTCACCTTCCAGGATATTGACAGAAAGCTCTGGCATCTAGGCGCTGCTCCAGTTGCTGAGCTTGAAGATGCAAATTTGGTTGCAGATGCAGAGATGATAGTTGAGAACCGATCCTCACTGCTAATCGGCACGAGTGATCAAGTCCCACTTTGGGCCAAAGCTCCAAGCAAGAAGTTGGTCTTCTCAGCAGATGAGCTCAAAGGTGCCAGTTGGGACGACAGAAAGAGGTGGACTGAGATCAGGGAGGAGCTGAAAGCTGCTTAAGTTCAGGCAGCTGCAGAAGGTTGCCACCTTGTCAGTTGGGCAGATGTAGGAGCAGGGCCTCTCAAAGTTGCAGGTAATAAGGTGATGACAGGACAAAGTTCAGATGAAAAGTTTCGTATAACATACGAAGCTCGCCAGAAGATTTACAACATTGGAGCTCCATCAGGAACAGCTCTGCAAGGCGACTACTGCGGCGCAAGGTGGGCATAGGTAGCCATCCACGATCTCCTTGAGATCCTCGTAGGTCATGTCTTCTGCTGCAAGTGCCGTCTTAGCCCAGAGTGGAGGGTGGGACGACTCAGTGCAGGATGCAGATGGATGAGATGCTTTCTAGCTGGCCAAAGTTGCAGCGCAGATCGCGGTCAGAGGATATATACATACATAACTGCACACAACCCCCCAATTTGGAAAAGCACTCGTTTCACATGGAAAATACCCACGCTGAGGGGGTCCCCCTCTCTTTTTTTTCAGTGCGGTTTCATCACTTTGGAGGGGAACCCCCCTATACTTGGACAAACGAACACGCGGGGATACGGAGGGAGCGGGGATATGGGGGGGATTCCCTTGGTGCCATTTCCCATATCAAAGCGAGTCAAGGTGCATTTCGGGGGAATCCTCCCGTATCTCTGGTTCGCCCTGTATCCTTGCTAGTTGGTTTCCCTGACATACATTGGGATAGGTTTTGTTAACCTGGGGTCAACCATTGGTATATCCAACCGGGGGGTCAACGATTTCGCAGCTTGCTACAAAGAGTGCCTGGCGTCAGCACTTCCCGTGGACGAAGGCACCAATCCCAACCGAACAAAAACCTCAAGCCGGCAGCTTTCGACAGGGCCTATCACTCAGTTGTTCAGTGGCCCTGGAATAAAAGGGAACTCTTTTTGGGGAAGCCAATTTTTAGTGGGGCTGCCACCAAAAAAGGGAAAAGGGGTGCCACTGAACAACTGAGATCTTTCCTCCGGATGAACACCGGCACAGTGCTGCCGCACTAGCGGGCTTGGAAAGTTCACTGAGGTTGGCAAACACAAGAGACCAACTCCAACACATTTGGTGGGTACAGGAGGTTCGGCAGTAACATGCACTGCCCAACACCCATTGACTTGCGGTTCTAGCAGGATGGTTAGACATATTCATGTAAGACATACTGTAACCCCCAAAGAAAAACACACAAACCTCGGCTTTTGCATAGGGCTTCTGGAACACATGGGCTGTTCCTTTTCCACCATAAGCCAAAAGCATGTGAACCATCGGCTTGTTGCCCTCCAAGCAAAACATTCGCAAACAAAAAGCAAACACAGCAGACAACAATAAAACAACAACCACACAAATATACGTCAAAACAACAATCAAAAAAATAGAGAACGCGCACAAATTCAAAACAACAAACACAAAACAAACCTAAAAACAGAAAGCAAGCAAGCAAGCAAGCAAGCAAGGAAGCAAGCAAGCAAGCAAGCAAGCAAGCAAACAAACAGGCAAGCAGGCAAGGAAAGGAAAGGAAAGGAAAGGACAGGAAAGGACGGGAAAGGAAAGGAAAGGAAAGGGAAGGGAAGGGAAGGGAAGGAAAGGAAAGGCAGGCAAGCAAAGTCCCAACCAAACAATCAAAGAAGCAAAAGCAAACAAACAAACAACCAACCCACCAACCAAACAATCAAACAAACAAGCACACTCACAAAACAAACAAACAACCAACCAAACAAATGAAACAACCGACCAAACAAAGAAACACAACGACCAGCCGACCAGCCGACCAGCCGACCAGCCGACCAACCAACCAACCAACCAACCAACCAACCAACCAACCAACAGACCAACCAACCAAGCAACCAACCAACCAACCAACCAACCAACCAACCAACCAACCAGCAGCCAAACAGACAAACAGACAGACAGACAGACAGACAGACAAACAAACAAACAAAGAAGCAAGCCAGCCAGCCAGCGAGCCAGCAAGCAAAAGCAAGCAAGAGCAAGCAAGAGCAAGCAAGAGCAAGCAAGAGCAAGCAAGAGCAAGCATGAGCAAGCATGTGTAAGCAAGTGCAAGCAAGTGCAAGCAAGAGCAAGCAAGAGCAAGCAAGAGCAAGCAAACGCAAGCAAGACCAAGCAAGCAAACGCAAGCAAGAATAAGCAAGAGCGGGCAAAAGCAAACCAGAGCAAGCAAGCAAGCAAGCAAGCAACCAAGTAAGCAAGCAAGGAAGCAAGCAGGCAGGCAAGCCAGCAAGCAAGCAGGCAGGCAGGCAGGCAAGCAAGCAAGCAACCAACAGGCTAAAAGGCCAACAAGCCAGCCAGCCGGCCGGCCGGCCACACAAACGAACAAACCAACAAACAAACAACAAACAACAAACAAACAAGCCAACAAACAAACAAAGCCACCAGCCAACCAACCAACCAACCAACCCACCAACCCAACCAACCAACCAACCGACCAATCAACCAACCAACCAACCGCCAGCCAGCCAGCCAGCCAGCCAACCAACCAACCCACCAAACAACCAACCAACCAGCCAACCCAACCAACCCAACCAACCCACCAAACAAGGAAAAAAACAACGAACAAACAAACAAACAAAGCAACCAACCAAACAACCAACCAACTAGCCAACCCACCAACCAACCAAACCAGCAAACACAAAACTCACACACACACACACAAACACAACGACAAACCACCGACGCAGGCTCGACCCTTCCCGCCTGATCAAAGTTTTGGCCGCCCACCACAAAGCCTTCGCGCACCGCTGCGGCCAGGCGGTCACGCTTCAAGAGCAGCTGCCGGGAGAAGGAGAACCTGACCCGTGCTGCTGCTTTCTGGGGCTGGGGGCTGCGGGCTGCCTTCCGTTAAACGCCGGCATTTGCAGGTACGGGTTGTTTGTGGTTCCTCGGTTGTTCAGTGACCCTGGATTGTTGAAAAAAATGGGGGAAGACCATTTTTATTGAGGCAGCTACCAAAAAAAAAGAAAAAGGAAGAAGGGTGCCACTGAACAACTGAGTTTCTTGTTGTTATTCGTTCTCCTTGTGTTGCGTTTTGTTCCCCTGGAAGCTTTCGGGATGGCCTTTGCGCGAACAAGCTCAACCAAAGAAGGGGAGCTTAGGCGTTTCCTGTTTGCTGGTTTGATCGTTTCCCAAAAACTGCCACTCCAAACCAAAGGGCCAACCCTTGACCCTCCAAATGGTGTTCTCTTCCTTCGCCAACCCGAGCCGCGCCAAACGAAACCAAGCATGGGTCTATGTCACCACGCGCGCGAAGCAACACAATAAAGTGGCAACACAAGCCAGCTAATCAGGGAAACCAACAAACAACGACAAGCAAACAAAGAACGAAGGCAACAAAAACAGAAAGGAAGACAGGAAGAAAGAAAGAAACGAACCAACAAGCAAGCAAGCAATCAAGCAAGCAATCAAGCAAGCCAGCCAGCCTAAGCAAGTAAGCAACCAGCACAACACAACGCGACGCAACGCAACACAACGCAACACAACCAAACAACCAAACAATCAAGCAACGCATACATAGAACCAAACAACAACATAACACAACAACCAAATAACAAACAACACCAAATAACCAAATCACCAAATAACCAAATAACCAAATAGCCAAAAACCAAAAATAACCAAATAACCAAGCAACCAACCAACCAAGCAAGCCAGCCAGCCAGCAAGCCAGCGAGCGGCAGGCAGGCAGGCAGGCAGGCAGGCAGGCAGGCAGGCAGGCAGGCAGGCAGGCAGGCAGGCAGGCAGGCAGGCAGGCAGGCAGGCAACCAAGCAAGCAAGCAAGCGAGCAAGCAAGCAAGCAAGCAAAGCAAGCAAGCAAGCAAAGCAAAGCAAGAAACCAACCAGCCAGCCAGCCAGCCAGCCAGCCAGCCAACCCACCCACCCACCCACCCAACCAACCAACCAACCAACCCAACAAAGCAAGCAAACAAACAGGCAACACATTGACCTACATACAGCCACACAACCAAACATACAAGGAAGAACAAGATAGGCAGACAGACAGACAGACAGACAGACAGACAGACAGACAGACAGACACACAGACACACAGACACACAGCAAACAAACTGGCAGGCAGGGAGGCAGGGAGGCAGGCATGCAGGCAAGCAGGCAAGCAGGCAGGCGACAGACGACAGACGACAGACAGAGAAAACAAACAAACAGCATAAAAGCACATCGCGCTCGCTCGCTCGCTCGCTCGCTCGCTGGCTCGCTCACTCACCCGCTCGCTCGCTCGCTCGCCCGCCCACCCGCCCGCCCGCCCGCCCGCCCCCCCTCGCGCGCCCATCCGCACGCCCGCCTGCCGGCCCACCCACCCACCCACCCACCCACCTCGCTCGCACGCCCTCCTCACTCACTCACTCTCTCACGCACTCACTCACTCACTCGCTCCCTTGCTCCCTTGCTCGCTCGCTCTTGCACTCGCTCTCGCTCTTTTCATCTCTCTCTCTCTCTCTCTCTCATTCTCTCTCCCTCTCACGCGCTCCAAATTTGCAAAGCACGGTCAGAAATCACAACTTGCCGAGTTTAGGCAGACTGCATTGCTTTTGGAAAGGCGGCCCATACACTTCCATGTCTTGTTTGCGCCAAGGTGGCAAACGGTTGGATAACAGGACCTACTCAAGCCTCGCGCAAACAAGCAACCCTGGCCAGTCAATGGACCATCTGAGCCGATCGATCTGAAGGGGAGTCCCTATCTTTTTAGCAGATATGAACCTTCCTGGGTTCCGGGGCGCAAGAGCTCTCGTTCACCCACGGCATGGAAAACGAAGGCGCAGTTGTTGACCTCGGTCAACCACTTGCACGAAAGGGCAGGTTGAAAGTGGTGGAAGGTGGTGAGCGTCAGTTGTTCCCCCCGCTTCCCACTTCCGATCGAGTGGATTGGCCAACAAAAGTCCGATTTTTTGTTTTACCGCTCAAATGATCTTACCAACACGCGTAGTATCAAGGCCAGGAACTCAGGAAGCGAGTGGTCTCAGGACACATGCCTTGAAGCCATCCCAAGTGCGACCAGGTGCCCAGAGCCAAGGTCTAGCAACACCGCCGGACGGAGAACAGAATGGCACAAGCACTGGATGGTTCATCAAAAACCGGAGGGGCCCGTTTTAAAGGAAGCAGTGTTTTTGTTTTTCTGTTTGCTTCTCTCTCTTTTTTCTCCGTGAGGCCCTTCTTTGTCCGCTACAAGAAATTGCGGTGCCAACGCCGCGTTGCGCCCCAAATAGGCACGGAACAACTGTCAAGTCCTGGTGGTGGTGACATGGAACAGGAAAAGGCCATAAAGAAGCAAAGAACACTGGACAAGGTGCAGTTTTCAACGTGAAATGGGTTGCAACCCTTGGGGGTTTGTTGAATTGGGTGGACCGGGTGGTCGTTAAGGGCAAAGGAGACCAACCCCGCCAAAGCCACACCCACGACCTGCGTTAGAAGCTCTGGCAAATGGATTCCAAGTTGCTTGCTAGTGCTCAGTATGGAGTAATGGAGTGAACCTGGAGGTCCCCTTGAAGGAAACCACAAGGGATGGTTTCTGGAGTCATTCCCTGTTTATCGCACCAGCCAGGGTTCTCAGCTTGAGATCCGGGCGTACTTGAAGTTGAAGCCCCCGCAGTCGAAGACAAAGATCTTGGATCCGAAGCGCTTGAAGCGGGGTCCTCCGCACCAGCTAAACCTGGGCGTTTGCGCTTCTTGCGCGGATGTCCAGGCCATTTTCAGGTACATGATTTCCATGGGTTTCCCTTGGTTTCCTTGGGTGGTTTCCCCTTGGCTTGCTAGTTAAGAGTAGGTGGAATCACTGCGCTGCAATCTCCTGGGTAGCGCCAAATTGGGTGGCTTTCCATCCACATAACTTGTCACTCTCAGCGGTTTTGCTGATATCACAGGTTGTGAATAGCAAACTAAGCCAGTGTTCAAGAAACAAGCCATGGGGAGCATCCGAATTCCGACCCTCAAAGCCGTACGTACTTGAGGGGCGCGGTACTTAGCAAGTGGTTAGTAAGGCTGGGTAGAACCCACTTACCATAGTTCGAAGTCTCCTCAGTGGCTTAAAACCAGGCTTACTAACCACTTACTATGTACCCTGCCTCCCTTCAAGACGGTTTAAACAATCCACACAGTGTTTCCCTGGAAGCCAACCGAGGGAACATATATACTTATGGGGGCGACCGCCCCCACATCTGTCCTTACTGCTCCGCCAGAACTTGCTGATTCTGTGGGAATCGTTTGACTCAGGGAGTGAGTTAAAGCTCCAAGCGCGAGTTGGTCTTTAGGAAGCGGAGAAACCCTGCCTCATCAAGCAAAGCCGCTGCAGGTCCCTCCGTTTCTCCAAGCGTTAAGGAGTTGCACCCTTAATTTGACGGTTGTACTCCTCCACTCCACAGGTTAAATTTTTGGGGTGTTTGAGCTGATCTCCACAGGTTTCACACAGGCTGCCTTTGGCAGCTTTTGGCCTCCCACGGAGGGACAGGAGCGACTGAGGGTGCCCCTTGTAGTGCGAACCCTCCCCCCCAAGAAAAAAGGGTAAAGGGCACTACTGGCTCCCAGTAAGTGTGTGCCCCTTCTTGCAACGGATATCTGGGAAACCGCACCCAAAACCACCTCACCACTCCAATTCCTTTCCGGCAATCTCCTTCTCTCCTTCAACCGACCCTCTGTTTCCCAGGAGTACATTCATTCCCTAGATCCCCCAGTTGACCACGTTGGCAAACCAAAATGTCCTTTCAGGTCGGATTTGGGCCACTGAGAAAAAATGAGAGGGCCTTGGACCACATCTGGGTGCAGAGAACAAATATGTCCAGTCCTGCTTCATACGTAGTCACCCCCAAAATGAAAAATACTTTTAGAGATCCCAGCAATCCCCTCATGGCCAGCCCTTTCATAAACTATGTCCTCCAGTAAAGAGGTTAGAATAAGGGAGCCAACTTTTTTCCGAAGTCTATTCTAGTAGGGGACTCCTCTCCCAACCAACAAAAAGTTGGGTTACAAAGGGCGCCTAGCTGGGGGACCTAGGTAAAATATCCAACCCATTTCTAAATTCATGTCTTCGAAATCATGTGGCGGAGCCCATTTAGTCCAAGAACCAAATGTCGCATTGGGAGAAGTTTGAGTCAGAGCGTGTAGGACCCGAAAGATGGTGAACTATGCCAAGGGCAAAGTCAGGGGAAACTCTGGAGGCTCGTAGCGGTGCCGCCCTTTCATGGCTCCCCGTGGATCTCGGATCTCACTTCCGAGTGGCCAGGGCTTCGAAATCCCCAAGCCCTCGGCCTCCAGCAAGCGACACAGCCCCGTCTGGTCCCAGCACAGCCTCAGCTTCGTGTGTTTGCGTGTTTTTCCTCACGAAAAACAATCGGGGGCGGGTTCCTGCTGCCGAAAAACATGGGAAGTTGATTTGTTTGGTGTAATTTGGCAATGTAGTTGGGCATGTTGTTTGAAGAAACTCGGCGAGCTTCTCCTGCCGAAAAAGCTGGGAACTTGATTTGGTATTGGATGGTTTGTCGTAATGTTTGATGTATCTCGTCTCTTTTTTTTTGCTTTGGAGCTCTGGGAATTTGGCCATGTAGTTGGGCAGGTTGTTTTTTTGAGTTGTTCCTTGTGTTTTAGCGGCAAATCAAAAGGACACCACCATTTTCGGGGTCCACTCACAAAAAGCACCCATATGTAAACCCATGGCGATTGGTTTGGCCCATTGGCTGGCTTCCCACACTCAATCCACAGCTTCATCAGCCCACTAGCTCATGCCAGGGCTTCATGTAGAATGCATATCTCCTAGAACTATCACATTCGGGTGTGCGTCAAAGTAGAACATCCAAGGCCATGATTGTCCACGTGGTTTGCCGATAAAACCACTCGAAAAGGGGACCACGCCTCAAAAAAAGACACACTCATTTATCTTCACCAAATTTCTGGCAGCTTTCTTCCGCAACCGAGCGCTGGCCGACCCCACCCACTCCTGTGTGGAAAGCTTTTGAAGGAGACAGGGGGGGGGTGTCCCTGGGTGAAATGTAAACCACTTCTGGAGAAACCCCCACCCTTATATTATTGAACTGGATTTAAGTAGTCTGTTTCTTTTGATTCAGACCATTTTTGGAGGGGAACACCCTGCAACAAATTAAACTGGGGTTGAAGTAATCTGGGGTCAATCGGTTTCTCCGTTGAATTCGCGGAGATCCATCGAGCAGCTCGTGATGCCAGTGGGGATCGCTGTCTATCCACCACCGCCGCGCCAGGCGGCGGCAGTAGTCGCTGCTCCGAAAGAACATGAGGCCGGTGTTCAAGAGGTCCGTGTCTGCCATGTCCTCTGGGTCACCAGCATCTGTTTCAACCAACTCGCCCTAAGGGAAGCCGAAACTAGGTCCTCCAGTAGAGAGAGGCTAGAATAAGTTGGTACCTTTTTTTCTGTAGTCTATTTTAGTAGGGGAACCCTCCCCCAGAAAAGGGTAAAAGGGCACTACTGGAGACCTAGAAAAGGAGACGTGGTTGAAACACTAGTGGCCGGTTTTTCAGTTTTGAGCAAGGGGGGCCGGTCACCAGGCATCTGGGGAGCCACCAAACAAAAAGGGAAACATCATTGATGCTACTGAATGACTGGGCTTAAGGTTGTCTCAAAATGGAGGACCCTCAAACTCAGCTGCTTTCTGTTTGTTTCCCTCAACCATCAAAAACCGCCACCCTTCATCAAGTGCATGTCCACAAATGTGTTCTGAAGGTATGGCTGCCCGACACCACCAATCTTTGCTTGCGTGGTATGTACCCCTTATATAAGGGTATATGAGGTCCATATGGCTGCGGGCCAAAAATGGGTACCCAAAATTCATCCCTGGTAAATGGAAATATGAACTATCATCTGCGGTCCGCTGGTTGTTTAATTTTGACCCACAGCCATATCTCCAAAGCCCATCTTCACTTTCTAAGTGGAAAACCTCCGCGACGAGTATTTACCTTCCATTTGCTTTTGCGCCCCGTGGAAAAAATACAAAATGTGTCCAGTAGTGATAGATTCCCTTTAAATCCAACAAGGGAGAATATGATATATTCTTAAGCAAACGGAAGTGGTCTTCTTCCCCAAAAAGTGAAACTCACGTCCCTAAAACGGAACTCCGCGGGTGAGCGCTCGAACCACTGGGAAGACCGGTGCGGCTCTCCGATCCTCCCCGATGATGAAGTCCGCAGCTTGCGCCAGTTCCACAAAGGCCTCGAGCGGCTGACGCTGGTCCAAGACCATGGCGTCCGCGTCCTCACACACGAGCAATAGGTGTCCTTGTGGAAAAATCGATGGCTTCCCCTGAACCAGTGGAATTTATGTATTTCTCGCCAACCCTGAAAGGGACACATGGACGAAATCCTGCACCACTTTAGTTGGCATTTACAGGGGAATCGACTCATTCCAGGGTCTCTTAGGCGCCCATCCATTGTGGACAAAATCGCGATAAAAGGGTTGACAAAGCCCATCTGAACCAGTGGAATCCATCTATTTCTCGCCAACGCTGAAAGGGACATCTGGTGGATTTCCATGCGAAACAAAATTTAAGGACATCCCGAACATCCGTGAAAACGCCTGTGGACTTCCATGCTTCCCTCTTTGGACTTAGCGAAGCTTCAACAAAACAACGCCCTTGGTCATTGGAGGTTTGTGGCCCTTCTCAATGGGAAACACGTGAAGGTGCCTTTTCTCAGTGGAGTGGATGGCCCCAAAAAAGTACCCAACTTGCTATTTACTACTGAAATCTAGGTCCTCCAGTAGAGAGGCTAGAATAAGGCTACCCTTTTTTTCTGTAGTCTATTTTAGTAGGGGAACCCTCCCAACCCAAAAAGCTGGGTGAGAAAGGGCACCTAGCTGGGGGACTGCAATGGTCTACCCAAAAAGGTTCAGGAACCGCCCCCCCCCTTCCGTGCTAATTTCCCTGTTTGTTTTCAAATCGCATTCGGAAAACACGTCCAAGCGTGTCATTTTCACTAGTGCAGGCAAAGACATGAGCTCAACACAGTGAAGGCTTATAAGGCAAGCAGCAGTTCCACACGCATGCCGCGTGTTCAGCTTTCAAAGAACTTCCACATCTGAATGTCCACCCCCAAACCCGCCCATGATCACGGAAGCAACATACTGCTGAAAAACATGTAACACCACTGAAAGCAAAACTGAAACCTACCGGGTTTTCCGATTGCTTCTCTTGGACATCAGCATCAACTCTGGTTCTGTGCACTTCCATGTTTGCTTGGGTAGTTCAAATCAAAAGAGTGAATCGGTGACTGCCAGCCGTGCTGAAAAACGTGACAACGGGCACGAGTGGATCACGCTGAACCCCCCCTCCCCTCCCCGCCAGGTGCAAACCTCGAGCAAGGCCTCGGTGCTTCCTGTTCTCGGGCATCGCTGCAAATTATCGCGGAAGGTGCTTTGTTTTGGGGGGCGCCATGTGAGTTAATCTGTAGGGCAGCAACCTTTTCGGGCGGAACATGGCCGGCATTCGTTGTGGAGAGGCTTGGTTTTGCCAACTGGGCTGAGCATCCACCCACACCACATAGTCCACGTCCGTCGCCGGAGGCACAGACGCCAAGCAGGAGGCCTCGCAAGCTTGCGATGTAAGATGATGCGAGATGGGAACCTCGGAAGTGAAAGGCTCGAGCGCCCCTGAGAATACCCAAGTAATGGGTTGGGCACTGGAATGGGACAGCGCAAAATGAAATCTGTGTCCTGGCTTCACTCGAAGGCACCATCCCAAGTACATAGTTTCAGATCACCCTGAGCGTTCTGGACCCATTCCAACGTCACAAATTGAACGTCAACAAAAGGCACAGCTCCAATGGCTGCCAAATGGCCCTGAGCGCTCCAAGCAAAACCAGGTTAGCACTTCTATTCGATGGCCACTGAGTTTGTCACTGAGGGAGGCTGGCCTGTGCTCGAGATCCCGGAAGACGATTGCTAAATAATTTGAACCCCACTTCAAACACAAGAACCTGAAAGCTGAAAAACAACCTATACTATAGTTCTTATCACAATGCACGCTGAAGGCGGAACTGAATCAACAAAGGTCAAAAGGTCGGCTTTGGGCGGGTGAGTTGCATAACAACAGGCCATGCTGGAGAACAAAAGCACATTGAAGCGGTGCATCGTACGAAGCAAAGGCCATGATCCGTTCTTGCGTTCTTTGGACCATTCTGGCGGCTGAGTCGACAAACGCATACGAGATGCACTCTCCATTCCCTCACGGGACAAGCCACCCCCCGGCGATAAACCACTTTGGTGTCGCATATTTCGGCAGATGCGGGTACACAATACTGACGGGCCCGAAAACGAAGCTCGTTCTTTCTCTTGGTGTTTTTTTCAATCCAATGGTTGGTCAGGGAACTCTGGATGCTTAAAAAGCAAAACGCTTTGGGCGTCCAACTCCCTGAACAAACACATGCCGCCGCCGCTGCTCCCTCCTTCCATTTGTGTAAGCCACCTGGGAAGAAATGAGAACATATTTGCTCAAAGTGAAAATCGCTGCCCTTTAAAACCCACTAGGGGAAATAAACACACACCTTCTTGTCAGCATATGGAACCCCCCCCGCCCCCCTCTAGGCGCCTCATGGGTGGCCTCCCCCAGCAAGTGGCACAGCAACGCCACCTTGGCCCAGGCCAAGTGCCGGCCTTGGCTCAGCTCCCGCAGCTGCCCCGCCTGACGCGGTCAGAAAGCCGAAGGTGTGGAAGAACAGGGCTCCCTATTTTTCCCCTCAAAACATCACCCCCACCAAGGGGCACTCACCTTTCATGGGCCAAAAAGGTGATGTTCAAAATCGCCAAACTGGGAACTATAGGGACCCCTGAAGAAAGGCTCCGCGGAACTGAGAAAACCGGGTGGGGGGGGCGGCGGTGGGCGCTGGCGGTTCCGTCGACCAAGGCGACGGCTTCCGCTTGGCCATGGCAAAAACCCAGGCTTTGCCGAATATAGGTGCGCTACCGAACATAGGTGTCTAAACAGAATGGGCGGCCTTAAAGCCAACAATGTCCAACAATTGATTCTTGGTAGGAGTTGGCCCCTTACATTGCACATTTGAGTGTGGCCAGCCCTCTCGGATTCCGGTGAGCTGGCTGGGCTTTATATGGGGCGATGGTGGCATCCCAAAACACAACCGACCTTTGGGCTTGGATCAACGTGCCCGTCACATGGGTATGTGACAAAATGGCGGTCAGTTTGTCTGGCTTTTCCGCCTGCACCAGTACCGAGCCTCAAACAGAAGAGGCAAACCAATGCTTTACCCGCGTTGGTCTTTGAAAGCTTCGGAGCCCGAGCGATCCTGGATTCAGACCTATCCCCCAAATTTCCTCAATTCACAGGTGATTTCCGGCCTTGAGTGGAGCTCCCCTTCGCCCCGCCTGCCTCCACGCAAAGTCGGAGGAAGCCATAGCCGTGCTGCCTGCAGTAGGCCTCGTTCACCGTGGAGCACAGGAAGCCCACCTGGACATGGTCAATACCGTGGATTGCATCGCAAAATCTGCACCAGTTGGGATTGGTGCTTCTCAACAGAGTGTATGCGTAGCGCTCCATCCGTCCCAAGCGTGGTGAGGCGGATTCTGTCCATCATCCACGGCATGTCTGCACCCTGTTGGCATAGGTTGGTGGGTATTTGTTTTTGGTGTTTTTCTATCGATTTCTTCTGAGTTGGTTACTCTTTCGTCGAGCCCACTGTGATCCTGCGTGCGTTGGTTCACGCCAGTTGACGTGGGACCCGCAACTGGGCGTCCCGGCAGCGACCGAAAGACAATGCTTGCATGGCTGACACATGTCTTAGCAGATCGCAACGGCCCAGCCCTGACAAATGGCCAGGGCTTGTCTGGCTTCCTCAAGCGGGTGGAATCCTCAATGCCAGCATGGGCACATGGCAGGTGGCTTGGCCGCCTGGTTGGCTGGCTGGCTGATTGCCAGCTGACACCTCCTGCGTGACCTACAGGTGGTTTGGTTCTTGAGAAACCGGCGGCAGTGGAAACAGAACCGACCTGCGAGGTCCGTCAATTCTCCACTTTTTTGAAGGTCGACCCACCCAAAGTCCGCAGAGGGCTACTTTCTGAAAGTTGCCGCGCGGTGCTCGCGGCCATGCCAATGCGCCCGTCCCTGCTCCGCACCTGCTCCGAGACCGCCTCCGTCAGGCGTTGCGACCGAGGTGGTTTGCGCACATGCGGCAGAGCAGAATTCACGCACGCGGCCACGTTTTCGGCGCGCTTCTATTACACAGCTCTCGCGTTTTCCAGCCTTTTCGTAGCTTTTTCATGGGCGGTTCTACTTCAGGATCACTCGCAAGGGCTAGCTCAATTGGCTCCAGTGCTGCGAATTAGTTCCTTCTAAACTTCCTTTGGCTAAGCCAGGTGCCTGTGACTTGGGGTGGCTTCAGGGTGGGTTTAGCATATCGGTTTGGGGGTTCACCTCGATGTCTCTACACTTGGTAGAAAGATTGGGGGATTTCGGGCTGGATTCAGTTGAGGGGTGGCTTCAGATTGATCGGACGTAAGCTAAAAATTGGCTTGGTAGGCCCCCCCACCAAGACCAAGTCTGTGCTACGTCCATCTATCCTGGCAAGGGTGCATTGCTGTGAGCTCTTCTTTCAGCTTCCCAATCCCAATGGCAGCTACGAGCCACTGAGACCTACCAGTCCCTGACATATCACGCGTAAATCAGAAAGTCTACATTCGGGTTCTGGCACATAGCCGGGAACCAACACCATAGCCAAGTACCTGCCACCACTTTGAAGTATCCAGAACCAGGATCGACTCACCTGGGCCGTCCTCAGGTCGGCTGCTACAAGCTTAACTTTGAGTGGGTTAAACGGAAAGCCCCACTAAACCACCTAAAAAGCCATAAAGCTAAGGAACCGGATGGCTGCGGACCACCAAGTCACTCCCAAAGCCTCGCCTCATAGTTGACATCAAAGGCGGTGACCACCAGAAAGCGCCATCGCGCCATCGAAGCTTTTCACATGCCGCAGGATGGCACCCAAGGCGATGCGATATCGTGGTGTCGTGTTGCTGCCGAACTGTCTGGCTTCAATCAGTCAATCAAGCTTTCAATTGCTTTATTTGTTTGTATCTATCACCCCTACAGATTAACATGGAAGTTCAAAACGGTCCCCCAAAGGAGATTGCTGCAAAAATGGTGGGTTGCTGGGTTCCATGTTGATTTGTAGCAGTGTATCGGGCAATCCTCCCAACAAGTGCGGATCAACTAGGGGCGTGATGAACAAAAACAACTTGCTCGGAAGCAACCAGTTGGAAGGCTGAGTTAAGATTTTACTTGGGAAGCTCAATGTGGTTGAACAGTAGGTTTTAGTGCATCCCCATAAACTACTTTATCACTTCGGGGAGCCCCTTGGTATCAGAGAAAGAGGCAACCTAACATCACTCCCACATGAAGCTCAAACCTTGGAGCACACACATTCCAGCCGCTTCTCCCTTTTCAGGGGGGCCAATGTCGATACCAACCAGTGGGCAGGGGAGCGGCAGACAGACACGCCACTTGCCAGCGCAATTTGACGACATATCAAGCCTTCGGTCCGCGTTGCCATGGGTCCGGTCCCTTTTAAAGGAAAATTGTCCTCCAGGACCCCCTCACGTTTGATGGGACAGTAGGTGTTGTTTGTAAAGAAGATTCAATCCTTTGTGGATGGGAGGGCCGGTTCGCTTAACTTGCCAAAACCGGTTGGCTTGACATAGGTTTCCATGCAAATCAGGAAAAAATAGCCTACCCTCCCCGGTTACAAAAGCGATGAGGAAAACGGACAAATCTCCCGCGATCCGTTGCAAGGGACGGGCGCCCTTTTTTTGCTCGCTGGCAGTCGTTGGCCTTGGATGCGAGCGAAAGGTCTCACGTTCTGAGTGGATGGGCCAAACAAATCCAACTTTATACTTACCACAAACGTGGCCTCCCCAGGAACTGAGCTAGCCTTTGGTAGGTTTCACGGAAAAGACATATCTGTGTCCAAATGGAGGGGTTCCACGAAGAGCCGTGAAATCAATGTGAGAAGTCCAGGGTACCACCATGCACTGGCTTGCCTTCAACGAATGGAACGCCATGAATGCAACCCACATGATCTTGTCAAGTCCGGACCCTTCTTCCCTCCAAAAGTGGCCCCTTTTGGTGGGTTCCATCTTGCTGGATCCATGCCCGCTATAGAGAAGGAGCCCAAAGTCAACACCCACTTGAAAGGAAAACCAACCACCAGTGGCGTTTGGCTCTGAAATGATGATGATACAGGCCACGTAGCTGCACTTGCCAGGTAGTAGAGCCATCTACCAAAATGGTCCGAGGTGTTGTGTGCTGCTCTGTTGCAGGGTTCTTGGCGGATGCCCACAGGGCTCCTCAAAGGATGCATGCCGGTGAAAAACATGAACAAGTGTCACCAGCTGTTTGAACGTGGTTCTACAAGTAGCACATGCACCAGGTGATTTGACGGTGCATCCTTTAGGAACCCTGTAGGGGTCGGCCTTCTTGTGAGGCTCGGTACCCCTGTTCTGGTCCGTTTGCCATGTCGGGACCCGTGTCCGGATCCTAAACTTGGTTGCTGTTGAGCCCTCTGCCAAAGTGAATAACTGTACTTGGGTTCAATGGAAAACCCTTGATTTCAACCAACCACTCAAAGCTCAAAGTCTAAAGATCCAACCAAAAAACGCAATCAAGTAAAACAAGACGAGCCTAACTCCAAAGGGAGGCCAACGTGCGGCAACGGCACGCTCCGGACAGCTTTTCGTCCAAGTCAAAGGCTCAGTGCAGGCCTAGCGCAGCGGCTCAGCGCCCTGTTTTCGTGGCTTTAAAGGACAACGGAAGGAGAACTGAAGCTTTTTTTTAATTTGCTTTTTGGTGGGGGGGCGTCCCTAAACAAATGACACGCCCACTTCAGGATTCGGACAATTTGAAGGGCATTCTCAGTTGATGGGTTTTGGAGGTATGGAGGCGAGAAATACCACTTACCCTCTCCTCTCACCAATTAAAGTGGAATCCTGGAATCTGACAGGGGGCTTTTAGAGGAAAATTGCCTTCCAGGTTCCATGTTAACTGGTGAGAGGGTATAACGGCAGTAGCATATATTGGTGGATATACGCACCCATACCTCCAAAACCCATTCCTGCACATCGACCCTTCCCCCGTGCTGGGGTTTCATAGCACCGCAGAACCCATTTCTAATGGTGCAAGCCGTACGCACATGGGGATTCATGCCCATCAAATGTTTTGGAGGATGTCCCCCCATTGGAACTCACAGCCACCTATCACCACCCCAACCATGGCCCAAAGGTTGAGCTCTTGGACATGGGGAAATGGCGCCTCGTTTGGGTGTGTTGATGTGAAACAGCCAACCCCACATCCGCTTTGCCGGCAAAGGGGTACTAAAGGAGTGAATCTGGAATTCATCGGCACAGCCGCCTCCCCCGGGGTTTCAAGCCGATTTCGCACCAATTTCCACATCCAAATGCATCTTGCCAGGGGCAAGGGCAAGGCGTGGCGCCAAGTGTCGGGCTGACAACTAGAAAAACCGCCAGCACCCCACATGCCATCCAAAAACATGGGGCAACAGAACCCAGCCTACATCGCCGCCCCGATGTTTGTGCTGCAAGACTGCCAAAGCGGACAGCTGGGGGAGGCCAACAAGACATCAACTACTTCGCGTGCCGAAGGAACTTCCGATCTCCCTTACTTCTAAGATCCGGGAGAGAGGCGATCACCTTGGCCCAGGCAAAACATGGGCACGTAATCCGTGTGCAAGTGTCAGGCCAGGATTCAGAAAGACACAGACACTGAAACCTCGTTGAGGCTTTACTGTGGGGGTGGGGGGAGGCGTGCAGACCGGAAAGCCCGTCAAGATCCGCCATGGACAATATAGCCGGAATGGGATCTTGTAAAGGACTTTCTTGGTCCCTCAGAAGGAGATTGACAATCACGCAAAAATAACAGTGTTTCTGTTGTTTTCCTGTTAAGTCTGCAAGGGGTATGCATGAACTCAGTTGCCCACCTGTTTGGGCCATGATAAACACGGGCCTTCAAGGGAAAACTAAAAGGATAAAAGCTCGATTCGCTTTGGGCCAGTGAGAATAAGTATGCTTTCAAATGCAGGTGCTCCGGTGGTTTTACTGGGGAACCAAGGGAAACGCTTTTGTTGTTGTTCCCCGTTGAATCTTCAGGGGGCAAGCTCGAATGAGTCTCGCCTTTGCCACCAACTTTTTTTCGGAGTCGGGCCGGGCCTTGCGCTTGCACAGGCCACGCGTCTTTGCCTAAGCAAAGACCCTCCCAGGTTCAAGCCTTTACTTGAAAGCTGACGCCAAAAGGGCTTTCCTCATGGGCTCATGTTGGGAAAGCCCGAACGTGCCGGATGGGATGCCTTTGGGAATTCCCCTGTGGCATCTCTCGTCCAGTTTGCACATATGTATGTGTATGTAAATATATATATATACACATATATGTGTATTCAATTATTTCTTTCTTTATTCCCTTCCTTTCTGCCTGCCTTATATGATTTCTTTCGGTCTTTCATTGTTTCTTTCCTTATGCATTTATTTATGTATTATATACTATTTTAGTTGTTTATGTACCTGGTTATTCATATCCCAGGACCCCAGTGGCCATTGGCAAAAAAGGTATATTTTGGAAGCATCTCTGTATATAGCATACCGGCACCCCCCAATGCTGCCCCGTCCCGGCCATTGGACCAGCATTGCCCCTTTTAGTGCTCAAATAGCCAAGCTGGTGCAGCCATACTTGGCTGGTGCAAGCTGCTTTCTTTTGAAAGCGTGCACAGAAAGCAAGGCTTTGGTATGGCTTTAGTTCAGCCTTAGGGCTTAAGTTTGAAGTCTTAGGGATTCGGTTTCGAGTTTCGGGTTTAGGTCCCGGACTTAGGTTTAAATCAAACATTCAAAGTTCAGCGTCGGTTCGTGCAGGGTTGCCCCATGGCTGGCCGCTCTACCCATGCATGTGACTATGGAAGTTGTGTGGGTGAAACAACACCGGCTCCGGAAAAACAAGGTATTCGCAAACAAGCCACAAGCTGACGCAGCACCACGATAGGCCGTGTGGAAGACCGATTTGGCGCAGTGTGGCCCATACATGTACAATCCATTTTGGCAGAGTATGCAGTACTCATGCATGTAACTACATGTATGTGTGTTGTTACAGTGTTGTTTAATGAATACTTGTACTGACTTATTTGCTGCACATCGCCTTGGTCCGCTTTGTTTGTCTTCTGGCTGCTTCACTTCCTGAGTCGATGGGGCCACAACAAGTAACCAACAAATGGTCCAAACCCAAAAAGCGACTAAAGTCCAAAACGGAACTCAAGGATGCAGAAGGCTGCCCAGTTCTATTGCAGAATCGATGGAAAGCCGCTATAGTGCGTATCTATCAGTTAGCACTTTTTAGCAGGCGGCACAGTTAGCACATCCCTGGGTTGGCCGGAATGCCCCCGTCAGCCCCGAACAGTTAGCACACACCTGCCACACCCCGAAACCGAAAGGGGCGACCAACAGTTAGCACATGCCTCTCTGGTTGTGGGCAGAGATACGCTTTTTCTGAAACGAGCAACTTTCGCAATGCAGTACAAGTGTAGTAAAGGAAGTACACTTGGCAGATCCGTCTCAAAAGTCGCAACTTTTCAGTACAAGTGTAGTAAAGGAAGTACACTTTGGCAGCTCCGGCTCGAAAGCCGCAACTTTTCAGTATAACTGTAGTACAGGAAGTACGCATTGGCAGCTCCAGCCCGGACGTCTCAACTTTTCAGTACAAGTGTAGTACAGGAAGTACGCATTGGCAGCTCCTGCCCGGAAGTCTCAAGTTTTCACTACAAGGAAGTATGCCTTGGCAGCTCCGGCTCGAAAGTCGCAACTTTTCAGTACAAATGCAGTAAAGGAAGTAGATTTGGCAGATCCAGCTCGAAAGTCGCAACTTTTCAGTACAAGCGTAGTAAAGGAAGTACATTTTGGCGGCTCCGGCTCGAAAATCGCAACTTTGTGTAGCAAAGGAAGTAGATTTGGCAGATCCGGCTCGAAAGTCCAGTACAAGCGTAGTAAAGAAAGTACACTTCGGCAGCTCCAGCTTGAAAGTCGCAACTTTTCAGCACACGTGTAGTATAGTGCGTATCAATCAGTTTAGCACTTTTTTCCTAGGCAGATAGCACATTACTGTGTTGGCCGGAATGCCCCGTCAACCCTGAACAGTTAGCACACACCTGCCACACCCTGAAACCCAAAACAGCGGTCAACAGGTCGCACATGGGGCTCTCTGGCTTTGGGCAGGCGAACAGAACATCAAAGGGCTACATACGCTTTCTCGAATGCTCATGGAAGCACACGTGTCAAATCTTCACTAAGCGTAGAAACTTGCAGAACCCAGTGAGCCTATGAAGGAAGGTGTGCGGTGGACTGGCTTACATGGAGCTTGCGTGGATAGGTGATGCTTTACTTGGCCCTAGTACTTTGTTGAACGTTATTATTGTGTTACAGTGTTTTCGAACTTTGGCAGCTCCGGCTCGAAAATCGCAACTTTGTAGCACAAGTCTAGCTACGCGAAGTACACTTCCGCAGCTCCAGATCGACAATCCCAACTTTGTAGCACACAAGTCTAGCACGCGAAGTGCACTTCCGCAGCTCCAGCTCGAAAATCGTAGTGCAAGTCTAGTGCGCGAAGCCCACTTCCGCAGCTCCAGCTTGAAAATCGCAACTTTGTGGTACAAGTCTGTGCGCGAAGTACACTTCCGCAGCTCCAGCTCAAAAATTGCAACTTTGCAGTACAAGTCTGGTACGCGAAGCACACTTCCGCAGCTCCAGCTCGAAAATCGCAACTTTGTAGTACAAGTCTAGTACGCGAAGCACACTTCCAACTCGCAACTTTGTAGTGCAAGTCTAGTGCGCGAAGCACACTTCCGCAGCTCCAGCTCGAAAATCGCAACTTTGTAGTACAAGTCTAGTACGCGAAGTGCACTTCCGGAGCTCCAGCGCGAAATTCGCAACTTTGTCGCACAAGCCGGGCACGCGCGAAGAACACAAGTCGCGACTCGCCTTAGCGTTTTACGGCGGCCACGCAAGGGTCCCACCCCAACTAAGCTGCAACTGCAGGGGTCATTGTAGAGCCACGTGTTAACTAACGGTTATCGTTTTTGGGGGAGACCGTATCGTTGTCCGTGGCTTTTTGGAGTCGTAGGCCAAAGAGTACCCCCTTTACCAAAGTGGCCTACACGTGTTTTGTCCGTGGCTCTTGTGTGTCCCACGACTTGTCAGGGTGAAAGACAAGAGTTTGCTAACATACAAATGGATTGCCAGGTGCCAAATTCTACCGCGTTGACGTGTGGAAATCCAGCAACGCAGCTCCGGCTCGCAAGTCGCAACTTTTCACTACAAGTGCAGTAAAGGAAATACACTTTGGCAGCTCCGGCTCGAAAGTCGCAACTTTTCAGTACAAGGAAACCTTGGCAGCTCCGGCTCGAAGGTCGCAACTTGTCAGTACAAGTGCAGTAACGGAAATACACCTTGGCAGCTCTGGCTCGAAAGTCGCAACTTTTCAGTACAAGGAGATACTTACACTTTGGCAGCTCCGGCTCGAAGGTCGCAACTTGTCAGTGCAAGTGTAGTAAAGGAAGTACCCTTTGGCAGCTCCGCCTCGAAAGTCACAACTTTTCAGCACATGTGTAGTAAAGGAAACGCACTTTGGCAGCTCCGGCACAAAAGTCGCAACTTTTCAGTACAAGTGTAGTAAGGAAATACACTTTGGCAGCTCCAGCTCAATGGTCGCAACTTGTCAGTACAAGTGTAATAGACAAAGTACACTTTGGCAGGCAAACGTACAAACGCTCGGGCTCCCGCTTAGGGCGACACGGATGCCACGCAACAGGCGTCAGCAAATGGAAGAGCAACCGCGTTCGAGTTTCTGCTCAGGCCGAGCACGGGTGCCACGCAAGGGCACAAGCAAAGGCAAGCGAAGCCACGCTCGGAATCCCGCTCGGATCCCGCTCGGGCCGAACGCGGAAGCCACGCAAAGGCCTCAGACCCTCTTGCGGAAGCCATACAGTTAGCACACGCCAGACCCTCTTGCACCTCGCTTGGCCGTGTCAGCTACAGTATTTGCCGTTTCCTGCAACGGCAGCCCAACTGTCTTGATAATTGAATTTGGCTTTGGGATTCACAAACAACGGGCCCCTAAAAGCCTGGCAACTCCACCCCTGAAAGCCTGGCAACTCCAACCCTAAAGCAATGCTTCCTGCAACTTGAAAGAAAGGGCGCCCGTAGAATAAAACGACACTATCAAGAAGCTTGCATTGTCCGAGTTTTGCGTCCAAACGCAAACACATTATTGTAGCAAAACCGTTGGGCCACCAAGTTTCGAAGTGAAGCTGACTTGGGCACCGTGTACAAGCTTTACCCGCAAGACAAAGACAAGTTCATAATCATGAAGAAACACCGTGCCCTGGTTTTACTCTTGAAAGCCCACAAGTTTTGCCGGGGCCGCGCCCGCAAACAGGCTTGGGATCCCGCTCGGGCCGAGCACAGACGCCGCGCAAAGGCGCTGGTAAGGACCAAAGCAAAGCAGACACGCTCGGGATCCCGCTCGGGCCAAACACGTGCGCCGTGCCAAGGTGCAGGTAAGGACCAACGCAGCCACGCTCGGGAGTCCACTCAGGCCAACTATGGATGCAGCGCGCAGGCGTAGCCCGCTCGGGATCCCGCTCGGCCCGAGCACGGGTGCCGCGCTACGGCAAGAGCAAAGGCAAGCGAAGCCAATCCCGCTCGGGGCGAACGCGGATGCCACGCAAAGGTGTCACTTGCGGAAGTCATACAGTTAGCACACGCCAGATTCTCTTGCGCCTCGTTTGGCCGTGTCAGCCAGGACTCTTCGCATCACGCTTGCCAGCGCGCTTCTCCTACAGTACTCGCCGTTTCCTGCAAGGGCAGCCCAGCTGTCTTGATAATTGAATTCGGCTTTCAGAAATAAAAAGAACGGGCAGCCATAACTCCACCCCTAAAAGTCTGACAACTCCACCCCTAAAGCCATGCTTCCTGCGACTTGAAAGGGCGCCCGTAGCAACAAAACACGACATTATCAAGAAGCTCGCATTGTCCGAGTGTTCCACCATTTGGCATCCAAATGCAAATGCATTGTCGTAGCGGAACAGTTGGGCCAAACTCAAGCTGGGCTAGGAAACTGTGTAAAAGCCTTACCAGCAAGAGAACTGCAAGTCCATAATCCTGAAGAAACACCGTGCTCTGGTTTCACTCTTGAAAGCCCACAA